CCTCTGCCCGACGAGCCCGCGCCGCTGCTCGGGGACGAGGACCCTGCCGCCGCCCTGCCCGCGGATCCCGCCGCTCCCTCGGTGAGTTCCTCGGGTTGGATTCTGTCTGCAAGTGTTCCTTCTTCTGCTTCCTTTTCCTTTTGTGTGGTGGTCTCTGATATGAGTAGGAAAATACTCTGACAAGTAAGGCAAAGCCTTTGTGAGTGATGCGCTGGTGCCTCCTGCTGCCGGGGAATGTGCCTAGGAGTCGGATTTCAGTCTTATGGTTGGTGGGCATTTCAGGAGAATAGAGGCTTTTCTGTGCTTGAGATTCTGTGTTTGATAATTTTGGTTTTATTAATTCAGATTGTTTAATTCCGTTTATCTTGACAGTATTAGCTTTTCCGATCTGCTCTATTGCATTGAACGAAGTGGAAATTTACGTTCTTAGCAATGTCAGCTGTGTTCTCCATAGCACGTGTCCTTCATTTGGTTGTCATAGAGAAGTTTTGTGTTCCCGTCTAGCAATTTCAAGTTCATAAGTGTATTTTATTTTTGCACTCAATCTTACGTATTTTTGGGTTTTCTTCCCTTTTTTTTTTTTTTTCCTGCCATCACTCTTTGGTCGGGTGTTTTGTACCACCCGGTCCTATACTTTTCTATTATTTACTATAGTTTAAAACATAGTATGGACTTCACTGTAGTATGGATTTTTATCAGCGACACTTTTCTCAAGTCAGTGTTTCTTATACTTAATTTTCACTATCGCCGTGTTCCTTTTCTTTGAATAGTCTTTAGGATTAATGCAAACCATTGTTTTATATCGAACGTGGACCCGTGTTTACCTGATTTGTTTTGGGTTTGTTAGATTTTTGACTTTTGAAAGGTTTCATTGTGTGGTCCTCATCCAGCAGTTGCATCAATGTCAACTTTGTGTAGCATTCTGTTTTTTCCACGAGGCCATTCCCAGACACTCTTCGAGTTTTCTTCTGGGAATTTCTTTGTTTGAGTAAAAAGTGAGCTTCACGCCCGGGGTTGAGTAGAGATGGTGGAAGAGTAGTGGAATCACTTGTTGCTAATCTTAAATCTAAAATATATATGTTAGCACTGGTATGTCACCTCGGTGGTGCTTCATTGCTGTGCTCCTGCAAAGATGGAGTTGAAGAACTGGATGTTCCCAGACACATTATTCATAGATTAGAGATTATATGCCTCTTTTTATGCCTTCAAACTAGCTTCAAATCCAGAAAATCGAGTGTCTTGCCGAGGTTTCTGCTGGGGTGCGTTACAGACAGCACGGCACTGCAAGGAATGTCGAGTTACACTTGTAAAAAGCATTGTTCGTTTGTGCTTTTTATGTCGCCTTAAATCTTGTTTTGAATCATTCTCTCGCGAGTAGCAGCGCTCGATCTTTCCATGCCGAGTGTTTAAAATCGGTGCAATGTAGGAGGAGGAGTGTAGCGCACATTCTTAATGCATTACTGGGTTGAAATGCTGTTTTTTCTTTCTGAGCTCCTTATCAGCCGGTGAACACAATCCAGAGTTATTGCACCTGGAGTGATTTTGTAAGAATGACCTGATTTTCCACGAGAAGCTTCTTCTGCCAAACAAAAGTTGATTTCCGAAAGATTGTTTCTATTTGTCTTAGTTTAGGGCAAATTAGGAAGGAAAACTATGGGCATTTTTTGTCTATTTTACTCTTTGCCGTTGTGCCTTTTTCAGAGAAATGTAAATACTAATGGGGGTGTAGTAACAGTAGGTCCTAATGTGCCTAAAGTTCATTTGCAAATGCTAATTTCTTGCACTGCTCTCAGTTTGGACTCTTAGACATACACAGGTATTGTCATTGTGAACTGATTATTGGTTGAAGGTTTTTCCAAAAGTCGTCTGGTTTTGTATTTATCAAAGCTGTCATACAACACAGAGCTTTCAATTAACGTTGATTATTTGAAAGCTTGAAAAGCAGTGTCTAACTTATGTGATAAAACAAAGGGTGAGGAAGGGCGAGATTCTCCTTAAATAATTTCTCAGCATTCTCTTTCTGAAGCCGGAGTGTGGCTGCTTCTTTTTGCGGAGGAAGAGCCTGTTCTCACAGCAATGATGAGGCTGAGCGATCATTTCCTAATAATCGCTACCGCAAAAGAAGCTTGTGAGATAAGAACTGAGTCTTGTAGCTTCTATCTTTCTTTTGAAACAGTAGCAAGAGTGGCATCACCAGGACCCTGTGAATGAGCACAGTAATAACTCGTGGAGTTATTTCTTGAGCAATAGGAATGTTGGAAAACCTGATGTACCTGTAGTTTCCCAAACCTGGTTTGTGTAGCGCTTGGAATGCTTCAACTGATCATAAAGTGCCCTGCTCTCTATAAGGTCATGAAATAAGATCTGCTGGTTTGTGGAGAGTCTTGTATTTTGTGATTTCCTTTGGTTCTTGCAGAGAGGCGGTGTCAATACAAACAGGCACCGAGGTAGATCAAGTGTTTTTTCATAGCCGTTGCTCTCAAGAGTGTTTTATCATTTCTGTTTTCAACCATCCCATGCCGGGAACATACAGTGTTTTATCATGGCAAAAGACATGTCAGTGCATTTGAGCCGTGGGTAAACTGCCTTCTCTAGTTTTGCCCTTCTAAGATTCGTTTTTGTGACTTTTTTTTAATTTATCTCAAATTCTCCATCCTGCAAAAGCTGGCTGACATGTCATTAATGCCTCGGGTGTCACCATAAATGAGTTATTAACCTCATTTTTACAATTCTCAGAGTAAAAAATTCAGCACACTGGTAACTATCCTGGGAGCACGGGTACCTCTTTTAGTCTATCCACGTTCATAGATCTACTTACTTACGCCATTCACTGAAAAATCTTTTGAATAACTGCTTTAACAAGTAATTTTTCCCAGTTATAGGACAAGAAGTTGTGGTAATCATGATTTGTAAAACTGGGAACATGTAAGGATAATGCTGTTCTAGAGAATAAGACTTGCCATTTCCTCACAGTCACAGTAACTGAGAGGGGGATATAAAATAAAATTAACATAAACAAGAATCTCCAGAAAGGAAGTGTTTCTGGTGCTTCTCTTTTTGTAGAAGTATTTGTAATACTTCTCTTCCTAAGTATATTGTGGATGTTGCTTCACAGATATTGTAGAAAAGAAATAAAAGAGCTGGGTAAAGAGAGCCCACAGCAGTAATAGAAGGGATAGGAATCTGAAAGGCATTTGATGCACAGTGTACGTGCTTATACTTACCTCTACCCACCTGTGCTCCTTCGTACGAAGTGTGTGTGATCCTTCACTACTCCACTACACGTTTTCGAGCCAGACTCCGCATTTTTGCTTCGGAACAGAGCTCCTCGATTCCCCTTTCCGCGGGTATGAAAAAACTCGCCAAACTAAACTCCGACTCTCGCTTTTCGGTGGCTGATGGAGGTGAGCTGCCAACGGTGAGGCAGGGGCGAGACCCCCTCGGGCGCGGCCATCGGGCGGCTGCAGTGGCGTGGCGGCGCCTCCGGGTGCCGCTGTTGGCCGCCGCCTGCCCGCGCTGGGGCCGCGC